AATAATTAGTCTAAGTTTGGTGACATCTGGCTTCTCCCCATGCCATTGTGCCGCAGGCGTCTGGTTCCCTTTATACGCTTCAGTTGGGCTTCTGTTTGTAACGTACACCGCATTCAAGACCGCTTCACCCCATAGATATTTCGGCGCACTTGATTCCGTCAGCATGGTTCTCATTTTCTCAACTATGGTGCGGTTATAACGCTCCGCCACACCATTCTGTTGTGGGGTGTACCCCACCATTGACTCCACTTGAATGCCTTGCTTCTATTAGTAGGCCAACTGCTCGTTCGAAAAATACTCACGGCCAAGATCACACCTCAAATTCGCTATTTTCGTTCCGAATTTTGCCGTCGCCATTGCATCGTATACCTTGGAATAATCCAACACCTGTTCCTTTCTCGTCATCAGGTAAACGACTCCGAAGTGCGTGTAGTCGTCCACAAACGAAACAAAATAGCGAAAACCATCAGATATCGCCGGAGTTATCTGCCAACAGACGTCCGTATGCGCCCATTCCTGGAACCGTCGTATACTTGGTCTCGTGCCATTGAACGGTTGTCTTATCATCTTGCTTTCAGCGCATGTATTGCAAAATTCAGCATCAGCATGGATACCGTCCAGTCCATCCACCATCATGGAATTCTTAAGTTTCAGCACATTTTTGAAACTGAGGTGTCCATACCGCTTGTGCCAAAGTTGAAGCCCTGAATACTCACCCACTGCTAACGCCGATCCACGGAGTGCGCTTTCCATCCGCAAACAGAACAGATTGCCCTTCAACTTTGCAACGCCAATAGTTTCATTATCTTTCGTAAGGATTGCAAGATCCGGCATGGATTCGATGTGCACGCCAGCCTTCAGCAGCCTTGCCAACGATATCAGATTGTATTTCAGCTTTTTGACAAAAAAGCACATGTCCGAATGACAACGTGTACCGGTTCTTTCCGACGCACAGCTTACCCTTCACGGTACCTTCCTCGGTGGCTACCAGTACCTCACCATCATTCGCACTATCGATGTGTAATGGCTCGTCTAACTTACGGATGTCGTGAAAATAATCCTCACTGCTAACCATGTGACAGCTAGCGCCCGAGACGAGAATCCATTCGATTTCATCCTGCGCCTGTACCTCAATTGTTCCGGAAACTAAGGGCACCTACTTGTCCATTTTTATCTTCGCTACTTGAGCCCGATTGGAATTTTCGGGTCGTCCTTTCACCTTGGGACAAGCAAACTTCTTATGCCCAGGCTCTCCACAGTAGTAGCATTTTCCGGGGAATTTCGCTGGTTTTTCACGTTGATTCATGTTCCTGGTCGCCAACACAACTCCGTCTATACCGTTCATAGCACTCGAACCGGATTGTCTTTCAGAACGCTTTTGTTCCTCCGCTAGACGGCGTGCTTTGACGGTTTCAAGCTTGAGTTGTTGATCGTCAAAATTTTCCATCGCCGTGGTAACCACGTCGTAACTAGGTGGAAACGAAATAAACAGTTGACTCACCATGTCGAGCTCCATGAGCGTGGCACCCGCATCCTTCAGCTGTCTTGCCAGCTCATCGAATCGACGAAAATGTTCCGCCAGGGACGTTCCTTCCTCCATTCGTAGCATGGCCATTGATCACCGGATGTACGTCTGGGCAGCAAAACCTTTTTTCGCGAAGCTATTTGCCAGTGACGTCCTGCTGTCTCCTTGTCGCGGATGTATTCCAAATGACTGTCTGCAACGTATGACACCAGGAGTGACTTGGCCTTCTCGTTCTTCTCGCGGAATTCCTGCGTACGCATCCTGCGTAATCGTCTCCTTCACTCATTGCGCTGAAAGCTGCATCTCCATACGAAACCGCCACGTGTCGTAGCCTTCACCAGCAAACTGAACGATTCCTGCTTTCTTTGCACTGGTCATCCTGGATCAGGAACTGGAACGGCTTCGAGAACTTCTACTTTACTCTTAGGTAGGATGTGACTGGGCCCATAACGTATAAAGAAACAGGATTTGTATCGTACGGGTGGTAATTTATAACTGACTAAATTTATTTATTTATTTTCATCAACCAATGTTGCTTATGCTATGCTGCATGTCCAGTTTTATAGCTGCTGGTTGCTTGTTGGTTAATTACTTATGCTTAGCGACCAGTTCCTTATACTTATGCACAGTGTTGAAATCAACTACTTGCTTAGATCTCAACTGAAACGAACTCACCAAATCCAACCAAGTAAACCTAACAAGCTGGCTTGATGTGTTAGAGGGGAAGTCACAATTGTCGACGGTTCGCTTCACGGGGTAATCCGGTTTGTGGGTGAGCTTGCACGGAATGTCCTGAATGTAGTCTTGAAATACCTCTTGGCCATCTGATACAATCCACATATTTAAAAAATCCGGAGCAATGCAAAATCCAAAAATTAGACGGGAGGAAATTTTTTCGCTTCCATCTACAAGCACAGCATTCTTCCGTCTCCCACCAGTTTTTCAACTCATGGTTGTCTAAAAATCCCTTACACACAATATTATTGAATAAGTTGTTGAAGGAGTTTTTCAATTTTCTTACTAAATTTTCACTAAACACTCAGTAAAATTCGCGAAAAATAAAGCAGTAGCATAAACAAAACACGCCAGATCCAATGCACGGCCTACCTCGATCATCGTGGCATCGGTGGTGAGTGCTGTCAAACATCTAATTGATGAGTCGAAAAAAAAACTGGGCATGAAATTTTATAAAAAATGCACCTTCATCGTGGACACGTATAACCCAATGACACTGGAGCCACCATTTTGAAACGCAACTGTAGCAGAGCCTTCTGGGGAATCCCCGGTGGCGTTAAGAGCAGAATGATTCTCAAACTCCTCCCTCGGGCTTCAATTTGACGCGCTGACTATTTATAACTAGTAAGCCGAAATCCCACCCCCCTCCCCGTAGTAGGCGAAACTGGCTACTAAAATGGTGGTGGGGTAGAAAACCTTCAAACAAAGGAAACTTTCTCCCAACCCAACGCAAGTGCTGCTGTGACTGCCAAGGCGGAAGCTCCTTCTGTGAGCCAGGATAAAGCAATAATTATGCTACTAATTTCAATTTCTACTTTCCCCGCATGACATGGTGTGGCGGGGCAGTGGAAACCAATTTATTACGTTCGCGTTATTGCCTGCAGTTTCCGGTTTCACTTGCGGGTTGTTGTTTATTTTTCCCATTAGGTTCCCCGCCTGCCCTGTGCTCCTCATGTCCGTAGGATCTTTTGTCTTTGAAAATGCATTGTATCATCATGGCGGATACCACATTTGCTCCCGCAGGTGAGCAAACACAGCGCAAATAGCAATGGAGCCACATGGTCAACCATATGTAAATAATAATGTGTACTCACACACACAGTTGGCCATGCTTCCATTGTTATTGTTTTAGTTGGCGTGAGTGAGTGTGTGAGTGTGAAAAAATGTGTCAACATATTTACAGAACGTGCCGAACCACACTTCTTCGCATGCACCGGTGGCCCGCGCTGTAGGTAACTGCGGTGCAGCACGAATACCGCGGGGACCAACCGCTGTCACCGGGGATAAGTTACACAAACGTGACGTGAATGCGGTGCGCGTTTTCATTGTTTATCCTTCTTCCGTGGCAATCGTTGAAAAGGTGTGATGCTCATTTTGTAATGCAATGTGCAAGAAATGTCTAACAATTTTGCTAGGTGAATCGATTGGAGTGTTTTTGTTGTTGTTGGTTCTCTTTTGTTTATCCTGTAACAACATATCCAACGCGGCCACACACAAACAACATCCCAGGTGGGCACGCAATATGGCGCCGATAGTTGTCGTTGTCGTCGTCGCCAATGGAGCAAAAGTGGCGTACCTATGTTGGCATTGTGTTTGTCTAGGGTGTCACTTTTGCTGGTTCGCTTCGGTGGAATACATTCAGGAGTTGAAGCTATTCGTTTTACTGTCCCCTTCATCTTATCGCCGAATCGCCATCACACTTCTGCTGGATCTGTTTGTGCATTGTGAATAATTTATCGACGTTTGACAAGCCTTTTTGAGTGATTCATAAAAGCTTCATGCATCAAATGAAACGACACAAACGATTGATCCCAGCGGCTTTGTGACGCAAGGCGTCACTATTGAGCTGTCAGTAAAGAGTTTACTAACACAATCCTGAAACAGTTTCATCCAAGTATGCTTTAAAACAAAGCAACTTGATCGTTCCAGCTTGACGCTTGACAGACGCAATTGTTTACACTAATTGAAGCATATGTTTACTATGGTTTGAAATTTCACCTGTTAACGTGAACCGCCTTCATTAGGAACAAACCTTTAGAGGAAAATTAAGGAAATAATGAAACAATAAACTGCTGCCTTCACATTGATCCATGGTTTCAGATGTCTCGTTAGTTCACCCCGAGGTAAACCCTCTTTAATCGTACACATGAGAATAAAAAAAAGAAGACGATGGGAACTTGAGGGGCAATTTACATTGGTGCGTGTTTCAAAAATTCAAACCCAATTTTGTAGATCGCTATGAAAAGTCGTCACAGTATTCGTCCCGATGACATTTCGGGGCAATCTTGAATGATGCGTTAAAAGAACTGGATATTAATTTTTGAACCACGCACCCAAGTAAATTGCCCCTTAAAGAAACACCGAAAACATATTGTGAAGGCAACTCAAGCGATGCGTCGACACGGCTTACTGTGATAGGGAGCTCGCATTCAAGGATAAAGGAGACAACCAGCAGACAGTAGGCGCTACCTACTAGGATAGACAGTAAATTATCATTCCCCACTCTGTATGAAACGAGATAGCGGTTTCCTGTTTCACGGTATTGCTCTTATGGTAGACTACTGGTGAGCTTGTCTACATTGCTACAATGTAGTGCCCATTTCATTGGTATGCTCGCAATTTATTTTAAATGAGGGTTGCTTCGAATATCTCTCTAGTTACACTATCGGTGGAGACGACTGGTGGCATTTGGTATTCGCAACTTATTAAATTTTTCTATCTTATTTCATCCTAAACGTAGGGAGCCGCTTCGCGTACGACGGTAACTCCAGTTCCGATTCGGAGGAGGAAATTCTTCGCCGGCTGAAGCTACAGCAGTCGTGCAGCCTGCATAGCAGTGGTCAGCTGTCGCGGTACGGTGCCGGTGCGCTGAGCCCGCTAGATCCGGATCTAGCGTCCAGTTTGGGTGGCTTACAGCACATTACCATCGGGTCACCGTTGGACGAGGGACAGCTGAGCAGGAAGGAGAGTCGGAAACATCACCACGGTAGCAGCAGTCATGGTCACGGGCACCATGGCCACCATCATGGGAGCAGTAGTGGACATCATCACCATCACAATACCCGACACAGCTCATCGAGGGACCCCTTGGCACTGGCCGAGCGGGGTAAGATCGGTATGCCGCATTCGAGTAGCGAATGTAGCTCGAATAGTTCGGTGGAAGCTTCCGTGGAAAGCAATACGGGTTTGGTTGGGGGTGAAAAAAAGGATCGACGGTTGATCCTGCAGTCTGCTAGTGGAGGAGGTAAAGAAGGTACTCCAGCGAAAGACGTGTCATCTGGGGACGGTAAGAAGGACCAAGGGAACAGCGTTACGGGAGGATCGAGCTCGAGCGCTAAGTATGGCAGGTTGCCTGTTCAACAGCAGGATAGTCTGGAAGATGTTCCGGATATTAACAGCAATCAAGACGTGAGTAATACGCTTCCTCTAATCAGAATTCTCCATCGTTCAAGGTTCTTTTCTTTCGTACACAGTGCATCGTAGTCCTATCGCAGGAACCCCTGTTCGATACGAGCGATTTGAAATCTCTCAAGTCGGACACCGGAACGATCGGTCCCGGTCCGGAAAGTCCCACTTCAACCAGCTGTCCGAACGGAACGCTGGAGGTATCGCTACTGTACGACGCACCGATGCGCAAGATGACAGTCCACGTGCTGCAGGCACGAGGAATTCCATCCCGAAACAGTGCGAGCAGTTCGGCCAATAACCCCGCAGATCCACCCAATCCCAAGACCAGCCAATCGACCACCCACACCCAGGTAAGATTATTGATGTTGCCGAGCAAGAAGCAGAAGCACAAGACCAAGATCCGGTCCGGGGAGAATCCGCAGTTTATGGAGAGCTTCCTGCTACATCGAGTCAATCCAGAGGAAGTCAACTCGATGGGTCTGCGCATTCGGGTCTACGGTTGCGAGCGAATGCGAAGAGAGCGACTGATAGGAGAATCGATAGTGAGCTTTGCGAACATCGATCTGGAGCTGGAGACGAACTTGTGGTTGCCGCTGGAACCTAGGGCGAACTCGGCGGTGGGTAATTGGAGGTATTGGATGAAGTTCCGGAGCTAAAGTGGTTCTTCTTTTTTTTTTCAGAATACTGGTTCAACGAGTGATCTGTTGAGTTTGGCTAGATCGGATAGTACGGGTTCGACAACGTCCATGCAACACGGAGGTGTCCCGGAGTTACTGCTGGGTCTAGGTTACAATGGCACTACGGGACGGTTGACGGTTGAGGTGAGTTGTGGAGACGCCATTTTTTTGAGCCGAGGAGAATTAATCCAGGAATTTATTTTTTTTCTTCAGATTGTGAAGGGTAGTCAATTCCGTAATCTGGCATTGAACAAGGTCCCGGATACGTACGTCAAGTTGTGCCTCGTTAGTAGCATGGGTCAGGAGATGGCTCGTGCAAAGACCTCAACGAGACGTGGTCAACCGAACCCACTGTTCAAGGAGACATTTATCTTTCAGGTATACTCGGCTTCGTTGGTTGATAAACGTGTCGATGGTTTTCTGACCTTCTCTCCCACAGGTGGCCTTATTCCAGTTGAACGACGTCACACTGATGGTGTCGGTTTATGCGAAGCGAAACATGAAGCGCAACGAAATGGTCGGCTGGTTTAGTCTGGGGCTGAACTCCAGCGGTCCGGAGGAGAATGCTCACTGGGGTGACATGCGTGAGGCGATGAATCCCCGGTCGGAGCTGGTGACGCGATGGCACGTGCTGGTGGATTCCTGATTTAACTAGCTAGGGCTCTCCCCTCGGCAGAGCACGGTCATCAGTGAAGATATCGCCGAAGTAACGGTCACCAGCGGCAGTGGTCGGCACAAGTCGTCGTCGTCGTCATCCCATCACCATCGGAGTCGTCGAAGCTCCGGAAGTGTTGGGGGATCGGTACTAGCTAGTCCAGTGGTGCCACCGGTGGCACTGCCACCACAGCAGCAGCCGTCGACCACATTGCCAATGCCGTGGGATCGGGACTCGGTTGCCGTCGATATCTCGATGATGCCTGGGAGTGACCTAGAGTTTGTTTGAACCAAACATCCAACAATGCGTGAAAGTGAAAGTGAGCGAGCGTGAGACGAGTACGGTATTTTGAAACTTTGCGTGTGTAGCTGTGACATTCATTGGTCTGTCTGTGTGTCGTCGTCGTGTAGTCGTGTGAGGTTCAGTTTTTCGCTTGCAAATTCTCGAGCAAACCAACCAGTGAAACACGTTTTAGTTTTTGTCCTGAGGAAATTTTGATGTTTTAATCGTGTCGTATTTTAGGCGTAAGGTTTAAGGACTCTACAGTGTGTTGGATGTCGCTGTCGATATATTTGATGGACAGAATACCAAATTTTTCTGGGGTAATTTGTGTGCTAAAAGGGGGACGCAGAGGGGGCGAAAAGGTATAGTACCTAAAGCTTTAATAGTAGTTACCGCAGAAGGGAGCGGGAGGTAGGGAACTGGAGAAGGATTTTTGTTTTTGTCAGAAGCGTCAGGAGGTACTCTTTTTATACTAAATGCTTTCTGCCATCGATTCTAGGTGCTATTTAGAAGATTTTATAAGTAGAATCAGAACCTAACTTTTTAGTAGTTTAGAAGGATTTTAGAAAATGAGTTTATTTCATCAGATTTCTTGAGTTACTTTGCGTCGAGGTTATGTTGACAGTTGACTGTTGGTGATGCACTTACCGTGCGGTTGAAAATCTAAACAATATGCTAAATGAGGTACATATACCGTTGATTAGCTGAATAGAAGAGACATTAGAGTAGCTAGCTCGGTCAGTTGGAGACGAAAGCGGAGATTGTTTTCGAATCAGATGTTGAGCAAAAGGGGACTTGATGGCTCTTACAGGTAACAATTTTGGTTTTATGAGGGTTCTGTAGACCATGATTCAGACTTGTAGCATGCTTTAAAACCTAAAACTTGCAATGTTACTTGGGTTTAGTATTCTTAGTAATGCGCCCGTGTATTGAATATGAATGGTGGGTTCAAGTCCCTTCGGTTTCCAGACATTTTGCTCGCATGATTTTTTTTATTTTACAAAGGGGCGTGATTGATTTTGTAAACAATGGCTTTGGCCGTTGATTTCTCGCAAATAAAAGATCACCCCTTCAAATTATCAATGCTAGCCGGTAGAGGCAATATTCTTCTGCCTAATGGTGTCGTTAATTTTTATATGGGAGCTTTCGTTCACGATAAAGCGTTGGCTAAAGCCTTTGTTTACAACAGCAATTGCGTCCTTTTGCAATGTTGACACTGAATGCTTTTATTTATTAAGGCCTGAATTTGGAAGCTTTGCGGTTTGGGGCAAGACAGCTTTCGATTATGAGTAAAAACGGAGTGAATTTTGAATGAAGGTGGGCGCACAATGCATACGTTTTCGGGTTTTTTTTTACAGATAATGCATGCGTTAACCGTCAAAAAACCTGAAAACGTATCCATTGTGCGCCAGCCTTAACTCTTAGTAAGCCGTATTGCTTCATGGAATTCGGAGAGGGAAAAATAAAATCGATTTGTCAGTTGGCGTGGAACTGCCAGGGGCGGGACACCTTTGTTGAATACATCAACATATTTTTTGATATGTTAATTTTCATGACTTGAGCAAAGTATTCGTAAAACAAATATTGTGCAGCACAAAAAACTATATCTTTTGAATGTATTATGTTTTTGAAAATTCTTAAATATTTTCGATGATATTTAAAATATTTAGTGATATTTTAAAAGACATCTACGTTGTCTTGCCCCTTCGGAACTGCTAAATATTCAACAACGGTTTTTTACTGTGTATCAGGAACAGTTTGATAGTTTTTTTTCACTACTGCTGCGCATGCTAGTGAGTAAGCCGCGAGTATTCGGTTCCTATTCTTCTAGTTACGGAGAACTTTGAGATTTGGGCGTAATTGCTTTTGTAAACAAACACGTCAATCGCCGATTTCTCGCGAATAAAAGAACAATCTATATCAAATGATAGAAGAACCATGCCTCTACCTGCTAGTGTTGTTAGTTTTTGAGATTGAGCTTTAATTCGCAAGAAATTGACAAATGATGTGTCTGTTTACAAAAGCAATTACGCCCTAATCTCGAAGTTCTCCGGAGTTTATTCCTATTCTACCATGGCTTATATCATGTTATATAGGCTGTCTGGCAATGAGCACTTATACATCTAGTTTTCACTGGAAATCCTATGCATGAGTGCTCATTGCAAGACAGCCTATATTACATGATATAAGCCATAGTCTGTACGGGGTATTAACTACTGTCAAATTAACGCAAACGCGATTCGAGATTTGGGCGAAATGGCTTTTGTAAACAAAGACTCAAAGTCAATCACTGAATAAATCTTGCGTATAAAGGCTTAATCTTGGAAAATAACACAGTGTTGCCAGCTTATCGGTTTCAAGCTTTTCGGTATCAACTGTTTTAAACAATCGATATTTACTAATTTATTTAATTTTATATTTTTGTCGTTTATTCAATTCAAACTTTTGCATTAAGAACGAGGGGGGCGACACATCTAAATCTCAATTCTAGATGCTCAAAAAATCTCACACTTGCGAATCAATCTTCGAAAAATCATCTTTCATTTCTCGTATCTACATACTTACATCGCGCTTCATCTTTTTGCAGGAAATCTTCAAAATCGACATAAATCTTCCTTGTATCTACTCAGCGTGCGTGCAGCTAGCCACATCAAAACACAATCTTTTCTGCATCGTAGATAGAGTCGTCCCCCTTGATTAAGAATGGAAAAGTTACTTTCCAGGAGAAGTCGGAAGGGGAATACCTGGTATCATAAAAGAATAACTGAGAGATTTGAATGATTGGACAGTACAAACATAAAATTCGATTAATTTTTTTTGGCGGATTTCCAAGTAAAATTCCACATTATTTTCATGTGTCCATACATAAACAGAATCCAATCAGAAGTTCACATGAGATTTATGAGTCAAATGAATAATATGAACACATGAATTTTATGTGTAGACATAAGAACTATGTGTCCGACACATATATATCATTTGTTTATCACATTGCAAACATTCATGTGTGGGACACATAAAAATTAGCATTGAATTTTTATTAGTGTAGAAGATCTTCAGAATAATCCAGCATTTTACGAGCGCTTATGGCCGCCACAATCTGTTTCTGGTAGGGAACATATGATTTCAAATTTGATCGTTTACACGTTAAACGACACAACCCAAACTTCAAATCTTATGTTCCCTACCAGAAACTCAGACAGATTGTGGCGGCCATAAGCGATCGTAAAACACTGGATTGATGAACCAGAAGCATTTAAAACATATCCAGAGAAGTTTTTGTAGATCTCTAATCACGTTAAATTTCTTTTAAAAATTAGGACTCATCTGGTTTCTTGAGAGATGACTTATATGATTTGTCGACTCCGAACAATAACAGAATGAGATTTCGTTTCATCACTTCGTTTTCCCCGGGCCGTCTGCCATCTGTCAGATTAGAAGCTCTACAAATACATCAATAGACATTTGAAACAGAGTTCCATACACAGAAAAACAAAACTACCCACCGCTTGGGTCTTTTAAACTCAAATTTTAGTTATTTGACCTCTGCCCGTTTCATTTCCTCTCGCTATTGTTGTCAAAAATAGAACGAAAGATTCGACTCAACCGTCTAGTTCCGTACGAGAAGCCAAAATTGAGTAATATGCGATATACCCAAATTTGAGTTAATTGAACTTAATTTTGGGTAGAAAAAAATGAAAATAACTTAGCGATGGGTAATTTTTTTTGCCGTGCTTAAATGCAAAATACTTTGAGCCGGTTTACCCAAATTTGGCTTATCGTACGGAACATGGGAGATGAGTGAAAAGAACTTAAATTTGGGTTGTTTTGAATTTCTGTGTATAGTCCTCTCCAGGTGGGTTCGTATTGGTGTGATTTGCGTGTGTTAGTGAGATGAAATTTTTCGTTAGGCCTTTCGCAATGCTGTTGTGTTTTATAAGGACTGTTTCAATTTGAAACTAGAACAGAAACGCATCTCTCGCCATGCTGAGTTGCAGTTTCATTATTCGAGCACTATTTTGCACCAGATTTGCAACTGCTCGACTATTCTGTTTTATTTCTGAGCGAGTTTGAAACACGAATGGAACTCTGTTTTAAATTTCTTTGGATGTGTTTAAAGATGTTTCGAAGAACTTCACAAACAAAAACGGAGAACTTCATAGAGACCAGTAAAGTTTATGGAACTTGATGATTACAAACATCTTTTAGAACTGTGCTTTGCGCTGATCGTGTTGCAGTTTTATTTTTGACAGTTTCAAATTATAGAATTGACGAGTAGTTTAAAACCAATTTTGAAACTCAGCATTGTGAACGGCCTAAATAAAACAGAATAGTCGAGCAGTTGCAAATATGGTGCAAACTAGTAGGGGAATTTACGTATTCTCGTCAATCTAAGCAGCGTCCGAACTTCTATCAGCGATTTCTCAGCGTCACACACATACATGACAGGTTTGTTTGTTGACATTTATCTGCTGCTTGCGGTTCTACCAATTCCAATCGACAGAATCGATCAAAACGGGTTGAACATGTTTTTACAATGCTCCAAACTTCTCAGGTGAGTGTGACTATTGTCGGCAGTCTCTTTTTCTTCGGCACCCTTTCCATTTGAACTCTTTTAAACTGCGTGTTAACCAGCTGTTCTATTATCGGCAACTCGAAATCAGCCGTATTGTGTAGTGTGTATATTTAATTTAAAGAAAAATATGGCATAACATGATTGCACAGTCGTAAAAATGTAATCAGATTGAAGCTGAAAAGGTAAGGAATCGGCTTAATACATTCAGCGAAGAGTTTTGATGGGAAAATACGGTGAAATTAACGTTTCAATTTCGGTTGCCGAAAACAGTCAATGGGTGCCGAAGCCATAATTTACCCTACTCGAATAATAAAACTGCAACTCAGCATACTTCATATAAAATACAACCAACCAGTGGAATTTAACGGCTCACTTCTTGACTAGCCTATTGGTCCAAAGTACATTTATAATCGTACCCTATTCTAGTCGAAATTCTAGAACTACACTATATATATTAGTGGCGTTTAATGCACGCACACTAGCGGGTGCATGGCCGCGTAAAGTTGTTTATTATTTTCCTCTGGCTAACCTAAAAAATGTTTGAAATTAGATCTGTCATAATGAGTTTGACAGCAATTTGCTATCTATTTTCCTCGGCTTTTCACTAATACGCTCTCATATATCGCACCTCTCGTCGCACCAATTCAACCGAACGTGAAATTCTATATATCAGTGCCAACATTTCAAAGGAGCGTAATTGCTTTTGTAAACAATGACTTTAGCCGTCAATTTCTCGCGAATGAAATCTTACCTCTTCAAAATTACAATGCTAGCTGGTAGGGGAAACATTCCTCTACCTGCTGGTGTCATTATTTTTCATGAGTGAGCTTTTATTCGCGAGCAATCGACGGCTAAAGCCATTGTTTACAAATGCAAATACGCCCCTTTGAAATGTTGGCACTGAATTTTGATTCGCTATGAAAGTTTGCCAGATAAAATGAGGGGTTCGTGTATTGTATAAAACTGAAATTTT